AGATAAGGTAAAGTAATTAAAGAAAACGACGAGGATGGGTCTTTTTGAAGGTATAAGTGACAGTAAATGGGAATATAATGTAAGTAACAGAAAACGGGAGGGTGGTTAAAGAAAACAAGAATGTGGGAGAGACTGTTCTATCTGACCCTCTCTCACTCCCGTGTTCGTTATTGTCGTTGGGGGGGGGGGGGTGTTAGGAGACGGAGACTGAGGCCCAATGTAGAGGATCACCCCTACCTTGAGCCTCAGCCCTCGCCTCAACAAATTTTGCATGGTCTTTTCTTCTCCCCTTTTCCTTTTCCTTCTCTTCTTCATCCCCTTCTTCTGTCCACTTATCCTAGTCATTAACTCACTACCCTAATTTTCAGTAAATAAATCAATGATCTATCAGAATTTGTCTTTCATCCGTTTTACCCTCTTATTTCAATTAACTAGCGTTTCTCGTTAAAATAGTCAGTCCTGATCATTCAAATACCTGTGCTTGATATCCTCCGTTCTTGTCTTTGATATATCTCTCCCATTTTTTCTTCAAAATTTAACTTCCATGTCATTTTCCTTAATCCTATACGGTCTTTACTCCTAATCTTAATTTAATTTTCTCTCCCTTTGTTGTCCGTATAATCAGCCTTATCAGCATCGCCAGCATTGACACTACCGTAATCATAGTCGTCACCATCATTCTAATAAAAATCGAGATTATTACGACAATCGACACCCCTAAACAACACCATTCTTTCCTCCTCACCATCATCACCACCATCACCAATTAAAAAAAAAAAAACAAATCTTTATCACAACAATCACCATATCTTTCCTCATTACCATCATCATCATTACCACCACCGTCATCATAATTACCGAAGATGTGGAAGGCGTAGTGAGCTTTGAGCTGCAGAGGAGCCTTGTCACTCATGACCGACAGGAGGTCCAAGAAATCCTCAAAGCTGATCCTGTGATCCTGCGCCGAGGAGAAGACTTTGGTGATCCGCTCTTTGAAAGGGTTGTGCTGGCGAGAAGAAATTGAGGATATTAGGAGAAAATACAGTGGATAGAGAAGGGGATAGATGGATAAAGAGGTGGACAGATAGAGACAGATTTTTTTTTCACTGGATAGAAGCCATGTACTGCGGTTAATGTCAGGAAGTTGGTGCCTGAATTCTGCAAGGGCACCGCCGAAGTATTGAGCCATTGACGATATCAACATTTCATTTTTACTTGGGTGGTATCATAATGGTGACCGTGATCACAACATAAAACACACATGAGACTATATCCGTATATATAAACATTTTGTATACGTGTATTTGGGTTTGTGCGTTACACGAACTTCTAACACGGTAACTTGCTGAAGTAGAAAGAGTGAGCCCGACAGATTTATATCTAATCTTTTGATCTTGGACTTGGTCTCAACAGAACATGTCTCATTTGTGTGGCACTATTTTTTTTTCTCTATATAGTAAATACCTTGATATAATTACCTTATCATCTATCTCCAATGGATGTTTCACTACACAGCTTAATGTTGTAAGGAAAAGTGATACACGTTGGGTATGGAGGTATTGGGTATTAGACTGAACTGAACAAAATGCAATGATTAGTTTTACGGATAGGTGTGTAGTGAAGACCTAGCGCCATGGGAATGTGTAGTGGTAAGTATAAAAATACGATCGCCCATCACGAGTCTCCGTGGTACAACCGCTTTGTTGTAACTGATCCTATAATAAGCAGTTATGGACTCAAGAGAGGTCGTTAGCAACCGGGTTCTTATACCGGAGAAGTGGCACTGCTGGCGGGTGGACAAGGTTTCACCCGCTTTTGAGAAGGCATGGACTAGGTGGCGGTGATACATCCAAATGATGAAGGGAGTGTCTTCCATTAGGATCTTGAAGTGAAGGCCTGTGAGGTAGACAATGAGCACTTTGTAGTCGAAAACAGTGTACTCTGCTTCGACTTAGTGGAGTCTCCTGATAAAGGAACACATTTCTAGGAACATACCACTGCCTGCCAGCATTCCTAACAGCAATAGTGGCCTTGGGACGCCATTCTTCGTGTAATTGCAAGTTCATTATTGGTCAAATCCTTCATCTATTTTGGTTTTCTGGCATTTAGGGGTTCCATTGGAATGCCAGTTCTTCGTAGAAAACAGTGAAAGTAACTGACCTCATCGATCAGTTTCATGTGGGGAGCACATATTTATGCAAGGAATTACACAGTGGAGACATCGAACAGACACTTGTCAAGCTCCAACTGTAGTCTGTAAAAGATTAAAGTTACAATAGAAAAATCTAGCAGTGAAGCTGTCTAATAGATATGGAAGGTTGTGCTGAATTCCAGAGGCCAAGACTGAAATACGAGTTTTAAGCGAGTGTTGATTGTAATCTTTCAAGACTTCGAGACCTGGCTAGATATCTAAGTTTTAGTGTATTAGGGAGGTCTGCTGCCCTGGTGTGGATGACGATGCCCTGTTTTGCAGTTCGGCCAGACTGATGACAGAGATCAGGTCAGAATTTTTGGGAAACTCTTAGAATACTTGATTTTGCTGAAGTGCGGGTGATAACCAGGGAATGCTGGTTTACGGTGGTCCTGATTAATGTTTTTTTGGGGACTGACATCCAGGAAGGCAGTAATATGTAGACGCTCTGGACTTGCTGTGGTAGGAACTGGCCGCTGTATTTGGTCAGTTGCCACAACTTCAGTTCTTTGCTGTATATTGACAGGCAACAACACAGGTAGGGTGGGTGCCCTCCTCCTTCGTGAAGTAGAAGGCATCAGGAATGCAAGAGACCATTCCCAAGACAATGAATTCAATTATTTCTTTATGAGTTCATGAGTAAGGCTCTTTTCCACATTATATAGGGCAGCTCTCGTAGAAGGTGGAAAACACAAGGGCCACAGGCCTCTCTGGAGATTTACATGTCATGGTGACTATGTCGTTTCCTGGTAGCCTACCGAGACCTTGCAACTCATTCCAGGATGCATGAGCTGTGCTGTTACTCAGTGATCGCTACAGAGACCACTGATGGAGAGTGAGAATTCCTGGATATCATTGTATTTGATGCCGTTGTCGTTGAGATGTGAGAGAAGGTGTCATCTGGGATAGCGTATAGAATGCAGTCAGTCTTGGTGTTGGGGTCAGTAACCTTCCACAGGCAGAACTGAACCTTGGCTTAGATAGAGAAAGGCAGTACTTTTATGATGACAGCATTCAATGCTTGGGTGTCACTGTTTCTGTTGGTCACCATTTGTAAGAATTAGTGATACACATTAGAAGTTATGACCGATTTGCATGGATGCAAGTGGACCATTTATAAGGAGAGAAGTCAGGGCACGAAATGAATATATATTAATATAGCTGAATAATATGTAGGGAAAGTCGGCCACCGTGAGTAATTCCTAGCAGAGGGAGGGGATTGGAGTCGAGACAGTTGGTCGCCCAAACTTTCTTACAAGAAGCTGTGAAGAAGTGGTCTAACCAAAGGCCTATAACCAGACTACGTTTTCTCTCTCACCTTCAATTCCGGAAGTTCATGAAAATTCTTCTCCGGATAACGGGCCAATTTGTCGTTGCCAGCTCCCGTTCCCATGAGGTCCTCCCATCTCTTCCAAGCTCTTGATTGGAGAAAAAAGTTGAAGGTTTTTAGAGGATTTCTATACAAATCATTGTTATTTTTTCAGTATTATTATCATAACAAATAATATTGCTGTTGGTCTTGTTTTTTATGATTAGGCTTATATTATTAGTTAACCATCATTACTATTATTATCATTATCTTTATCATTAGTGCTATAACGAACATTTTTATAATTTTCATTACCATTACTATTACTACAGTTACTGTGATCGTTAATGATATCATTACCATCAGTAACATTAATCGTGTTGCCATTCTGATTAGTCATTGTCAATGTATTACTAACAATATCCCTATGATTACCTTAAAACAATGATTAAACAGCAAAAATAAAGTAATAATAATGCTGATAACAGTAAAAATAAGTCAGAAAATAATGATGGGAAGAGTATGAGTTACAAAACAATAACTACTAATGACGATGACAGTCAGGATAATAACAATAATCAATAACGCTGTACCAGTGATGATCATGATAATGATGGTGACGAGAACAAGGATAATTATCAGTATTATTAATATCGCACCACACACAAACACATAGATATATACGTGTGTGTGTGTTTGTATGTGTGTGTATGCGTGTGTGTTTGTGTGTGTGTGCGCGTGCGTGTGTGTGTGTGTGTGTGTGTGTTCGCGTGTGTGTGCGCGTGTGTGTGTGTGTGTGTGTTTGTGTGTGTGTATGTATGTGTGTGTGTGTGTGTTTGTGTGTGTGTATGTGTGTGTGTGTGTGTGTGTGTTTGTTTGTGTGCGCGCGCGCGTGTGTGTGTCCTGTAGTCCTAAAAAAAGGCCAGAAAACTCACAGAAGGATCTCCTTTCTGGTGAGAAAAGTGAGGTCCTCATATTCCTGCAGTTCCTCCTCCGTGAATGCGCTGTTCCTGTTCCCCATTCTGCTTCTCGGGGTTTTTCTCGTTCGCCTTCCCCCTCTCTTCTGCTTCTTTTATCTTCCTCTTTTTATTCTCCTTCTCTTCTCTTCCCTCTTTCTTCTTCTTTTATCTTCCTTTTTTTATTCTCCTTCTCTTCTCTTCCCTCTTTATTCTCCTTTTATCTTCCTTTTTTTATTCTCCTTCTCTTCTCTTCCCTCTTTATTCTCCTTCTCTTCTCTTCCCTCTTTATTCTCCTTCTCCTCTCTTCCCTCTTTATTCTCTTTCTCTTATCTTCCCTTTTTATTCTTCTTAAGGTGCTGACTGGCCGTATTTTGATGTTCTCTCAGAGAGCTCCCTCACTCGCCCTTCAGCTGCTGTCTAGAGTGAGTAAGAGTGAATAGTGAGAAAGTGTGAGTATGGTGAGTAACAGCTGAAAATCTGCGAAAGATCCATCATGACAAATCTTTATTAATGGAATTATATAAATGATATTCATATGAAACAGAGAACTTTGATCCTATAGTGTTCAAATACAGCACTTTAAAAATAATACACACAACAAACAGAATGGTCATCTAATTATTTCCATTCAAACAAAATACGATAGAAAATGGATGCACACACTGCAACACAAAAACACCATATTTAAAGTCTATTTTGAGTAAATGATAATTCATTAGATAAAACTACAGGAAATCGTGCACTATCTTGTCTGCATTTCCTCAAATATAAGCTAAGTTCATAGTTTATCAAAAGCCTCCCACATGAAATGAAAACGCATGCCAAAACATCTACAATTTTTAAAAAACAAATCAAACCAAGTTAATATACCTATTCTATGTTACCTTGCGTTATTTAAAGTAATCTCTCACACTACGGCAGCAAGAGGATTGGAAACAGAGAGAGAGTGAGTGTATGGTAGCACACTCGTCGAGAACTGAGCATGTGTATATCCTCATGCGGGTAATATTGGCTTACAGGTGTTCGGGCAACGCATTGAAGTATTGATTATTTTCCCCAATGCACTGATCAGGTAGGTTTTGATTACTATGATCTCAGTTTCGTATAAAATTATGAAGCTGAGTAGCCTTGTCTTATTTTTTTCTTATATATTTATTCGTATTTTTTCTCTCTCTCTCTTTCTTGCTCTTTTTCTTATTCGCTTTTTTTTTCTTCTCTTTTTGCGCACCTGCTCGCTCTCTGTTTCATCTTTTATTTTACTCTCTTACTTTCTCAATGTTTCACTCTCCGTCATTTTCTCTTATTCCTTCACCTTCCACTCTCCTTCCGTCCTTTTTCCGCCTCTCATTCTCTCTCTCTCCCTCCCTCCCTCTCTCTCTCTCTCTCTCTCTCTCTCTCTCTCTCTCTCTCTCTCTCTCTCTCTCTCTCTCTCTCTCTCTCTCTCTCTCTCTCTCTCTCTCTCTCTCTCTCTCTCTCTCTCTCTCTCCTTCTGTCTCCTTCTACTTCACTCAACCCCTTTCTCCTTCATCCCCCCATCTATTTCTACTTCCTTTTTCTTCCCTCATTCTTCTCATTCCCCTCTTTATCACTCCCCCTATGCTTCTTCACACTAACATCACCCCACTCCAATCACCATGGCGAAACTAAGAGAGAAAAATCACCCGTTAATACACTCCCTTCTCCAGTACCCCGTTAACTGAATGGGGGAAAAGTTAACACTAGTGATACGGGGAACTACTGTCGCTTGGGTCGGCCTGGTGGAGTTGCAGGTGTCTGGGTAAAGACAATAATTTATCGTCATCAGCTATTTTGTATTTTTCTGAAACTATATATAGCTTCTTTTTTGGGTCTAATGTGGATCATTCTGAAGACATGGGTTATATTTTCGAAGATACGAGATGGTTTTTAGATATAGTTTTGTACTGACAGATAGGTAACTAAATTCCGAAGTAAAACTGATAACGGTATATCGTCATCGTCAGCTGATAAAGATATAGGTCGATAATATGTGCGTGTGTGTGAGTGTGTGTGTGTGCGTGTGCGCGTGCGTGTGTGTGTGTGTGTGTGTGTGTGTGTGTGTGTGTGTGTGTGTCTGTGTGTGTGTGTCTGTATGTGTGTGTGTGTGGGGATATGTCTGTGTGTGAATATTCAGTATGAGCTTCATATCCTGAGACTTCAAATTTGATTTCTTATCACATTTCTCAAGCTTAAGAGAATGATAAGATATGATACGTATATCCTATTCCGTTGTTGATTGAAATGGGCGTGAATGGAGAAAGGGGAATATCGCCAGTTAGAAGATTCGTGAATATGATCTCATGAAAAAAAAGTTTTTTTCTTTTTAGTAAAGACATGATATCATGACTTTTTCTTAATTACTGGCATATCTAAATATATACATATATTTATACATATACATACATATATATATGTATATATATATATATATATATATATATTTATATATATACATACATATATTTATATGTATATATGTGTGTGTGTGTGTGTGTGTTTGTGTATATATATATATATATATATATATATATATATATATATATATATATATATATATATGCATATATATATATGTAGATATATATATGTAGATATATATAAAGATCAGCACTCAAAGTGAAAATGATTCTGTGTTGTACAGAATGACGAACGTATGACATTTAAAGGAGGTCAATTCTTATAATGAAAACACTCTCGCAAGTCACTTTCACAACCCAAAGGCCCAGATCACAAATAAAGTAAACCTACCTCAACAGACTGACGTACATCACGCGTGCCGCCCACATGCAGTGCCACTCTTGATCACATGCATAATCCACTCTCAAGTTGCAAGGCTCCACGAAATGAAGTGCGGGAGGCAAGTGCATGATATCAATTAATAAGTTCAATAAACAAGGTACATCTGGCAACTCTGAGGGATTCCCTGTCGACTGCTGCCACGACTCAGGCTGCCGGACAGCGAGCCATAAGGCCGGTTGAGTCACTCGTGCGGATGGATGGCAGATTGCATGTGCAAGCACATTATCTACGTCTGTCTATCTATACGTATAACCATCTATGTATCTATATCTATCTATCTATCTATATATTTATGTGTATATATATATATATATATATATATATATATATATATATATATATATATATATACATATACATGTACACACACACACACACACAAATATAAATAAATAAAAATATATATATATATATATATATACATACATATATATGTATGTGTATACATGTATATATATAACACATGCATATATATAGAGAGAGACAATAGTAGAGACAATAATGACATAGTCGACATAGACTGAATGTGGCCGTCGATACACACACAATATATATATATATATATATATATATATATATATATATATATATATATATATATATATATATATATGTGTGTGTGTGTGTGTGTGTGTGTATGTATATGTACATAGATAGATAGATAGATGTGCGTGTGTGTGTTTGCTTGTGTGGGTGTATATATATATATAGCTATAGATATATAGATATATATATTTGACCTCCCCCAATCTTTTCCAACTTTGTCTTGCATTTTTTGTTTCCAGTCTTGGCCCACAAATTTCGTTATTTCGTCACGCCATCTTGTCATTGGTCTGGCCCTTGGCCTCTTTATGTTATCTATATCCCAGACTATTACTTTCTTTGTCCACCTGTTGCCCTGTCTCCGACATACATGACCTGCCCGTTGCCATTTTTTTTATTGATACCCCCAAGTATATCTTTCCCTTCTGTCTGTACCCTGATCCACGTCGCCCTCATCCGATATCTCTGCTAATTCCCAGCATCAACCTCCTTTGGGCACTTATTAATTTCTTCTCCAGTAATTTGGCTGTAATTCATCTTTCTGATCCATAGGTCATAACTGGGAGGACGATTGGACTTTTCCTTTTAAGCATAATGGCAGGGAGCCTCTTAGTATGCTACTGTGTCTGCGTCGTTTAATTTCCTTTTCGCTAAATGTATTTGTCTGTACGAGTTACCCTAGCTATTTATACTTGTCTACTACCTCTAGCGCATCACCTTGTACATGTATCTGTTCGAATTGAACTCTGCTGTTGAACATTATCTTAGTCTTTTTCTTGTTCATCCTCAGTCCGACTTTCAGACTTTCTCTCTTCAGATTTCATTTGCAAATTTACTGAAGAGAGCAATATCATCTACAAATCTTAGATTGTTTAAGTATTCTTCTTCTATTTTGATACCCTTTCCGTTCCACTCTAGCTTCTTGAATATTTCCTCAATGCAAGCTGTAAACCGTTTTGGTGAGATGGTATCGCCCTGTCTAGCATTTTTTTTATTGGTATTTTATCGGTTTCCGTGTGGAGCTTAATGGTTGCTGTCCCATTTCCGTATATATCTTCCAATATTTTACAATATTCCTCCTCTACTCCCTATCTTCGAATAGCTTTTAGTACTGCTGCTATTTGTTCAGAGTCAAATGCCTTTTCGTAATCGATGAATGCCATAGACAGGGGTTTCCTATATTCGTTTATTTTTTCTCTTATTTCGGTAAGCGTGTAGATGTGGTCTGTTGTTGAGAATCCACTGCAGAAACCTGCCTGTTCTCTAGGTTGGTTAGAATCCAGATTGTCAGATATTCGAGTTGAGATGACTTTGGGAACAGTTTGTAAGTAACTGAAAGGAGGCTTATGGGTCGGTAGTTGTTTTTTTTAGATATTTTCTATCCCCATTTTTATATAACAAATAATTATTCTGATTTTTTCCGCTGAGAAGGCATTTGTTAAAAAGATTGGCTAGTTTCACTGTTGCAATTTCTCTTGCATCTATTATAAGGTCTATACTAATTCCGTCTTCACATGGTATTTTCCCTCTTTTCATGTCTTTAAGCGCTCTTTTTATTTCTTCTGTTGCGTTGTTAGGTACGTCTCTAGTTACCGCGTTCGTTTTTGTCTGTGGCTGTTCATTTGAGTCGTATAGATCCCTGTAAAAGTCTTACACTGCTTTTCATTCTTATTATATGTCATTTCTCCATCTGCTTTCTTTAATATATACAATTGATATCTATCTATTCCGAGCCTCCTTTTAGCTGTTTCCATGCTGGTACCCGAGACCACTGTTTCATTTATTCTTTGAGTATTGAATTTCCGTACATCTTCTCTGTTATTATTATTTATCGTCTTTGTTAGTTCAGCTATTTCTATTTTGTCCCTGTTTGACGAAACTTTCATGACCCTACGTTTTTGCATAAGCTGTTCAGTTTCTACCGAGAGCTTGCTGGAGTTTTGCTTGACGTTCTTACCGATTACTTCAAGTGCAGCTTCCTTTATTATGTCACTGAACCATTTGTTGATTTGGTCAATGTTAAGGTCTTCGTCGCTGAGAAGTGAATGTCTGTTTTGGATATTGAGGTTAAATTCTCCATTTTCTCCATGGCATTCTAATCATCCCTTTTACACGGGACTGAGGGCAATTTCCTGAGAAGTCCGCCATAAATACAAGGGAAAGATCAGTCAGTGTGGTTTCCCGTTGCCTTCCTTGACAGTGTTTTTTATTGAGACACTTCTCTAGAAGGATTGCCAGCCAAGCCTAAAATATTCCCTCTACCCTTCTATTTATTCCAGAGATGGGGCCCTGGCATCCACTCTGGGTCGAAGTGGACTTGGGAGCAATAGTGGCTAAGAGGTAGCTCCTTAATCCACAAGACCAGAACCCCACAGCCGGATGCAGTTTATTCTCAAACCCAGGAGATATAGATATGTATATATAAATGCATACACAAAAACGCACACACACACACACACACACACACACACACACACACACACACACACACACACACACATACATATATACATATATATATATATATATATATATATATATATATATATATATATATATATATATATATTGTGTTTGCATATCGACAACCACATTCAACCGATGTCGACTATGGCATTACTGTCTCTACCCACTCCCATAAAGTCCATGCCTGGGTGAAAGAAGGATAGGAGCAAGATGTTGCCCATGAAGCAGACTCCCTCTTTCCACGCAGCTGATGGATCCAAAGGAACAGTATAGACCGATACAGTTTGGCACCAGCGGCGTCGCAGGAGTTGTCAGAACGAGGTCGCAAACGACAACGAACTGCCTTCGGGACTCCGGCTCTGGATTTTTCCTCAGGGTTGACTCCCGAATCCTTTTCATCTTATAGATACCACAAGGCAGTGGATTGTTTTGTATAGGGTGGACTCCCACAGCCTTTGACCATGCACGGACTGAACTACAAGGCAGTAATTGTTTTGTATAAGGT